GCTCTTGGTTTTGGCTCGGGTCGTGATCTCAGGATCATGGTATTGAGCCCCATGTAGGGCTCCACACTCAGCAGGAGTCTGCTTAGATATTCTCTTCCCTCTGCACCTACCTCCCTCACTCACATTCTCTTTCTCTCAAATAAATAAGTACACCTTTTTTAAAAAATCAAGGTCCCTGCTTTCCTGGAGCTTACAGCCTAGTGGGAAAGCAAGATGAGTTCATCAAGTAGTCATGCTGAAATATATGAAATTTCAGCCATGACAGTGTTTGAAGGAGAGGCATGTAAGACTGGGAAAGCATCTAATGCAAAAGGTATCCTCTGAGCAAATGGTTCTCCAGGTGTGGTCCCTGGACCAGCAGCCTCAGCATCACCTGTGACTGACCTGGCTAGAAATACACATTCTCATTTCCCACTCTGGACCCACTGGATTAGAAACTCTGGAGGGGGGGGTCCAGCTTCTGTTTTCATGAGTCCTCAGGAGACTATTGTATACACGCAGGTTTGAGAATTCTTGCTTCTGATGGTCAAAGAAGGCTTCCCTGCAGAAATAACTTTTGGATTAGGAGGGAAAACCAGGCCATAGGGCAGGGCGGGAGAAATCTTTCAGACAGAAAAAAATGGCATTTGCAAAGGCCCTGTGGTGAGAGCAGAGGGCTTTTGAAAGCCCTGAGAAAGAAGAGTAATACAGGTTGTGCCCAAGCAGGCTGATAGGGCCGGGATACACAGGTCATGGAAGCCTCATCAAGGATTGGGCAATAGGAAGCTTTGATGTACTTTAAACACAGGGATGACACAATCATATTTGTTTTCATTTAAAGAAGAATTCTAGCTACAGTATGAAGTAAGGATTGAAGAGGAGCAAGAGTAGGCCAGTTAGAGGGCATTGCAGGGGTCTGGGGGAAGATGGCAGTAACTTGCACTAGGGTAGTTTCCAGAGGCATGGAGAGAAAGGTGCATAATTGCAAGATACTTAGGTCAAGTCCATGGATCTTTGGTGATCAGCTGGGGTGTTTAGGAGGAGTCTGGAATTTTGGGTTTACATACAAGATGGAAGACAACGATGTCAAGTCTGTTGGTGGGAGGTGAGCATGAGAAGGTTCTGTTGCATTTGAAGTGTCTTTGAGCCACCTATGTGTAGATCTCAATTAGATAGTGGGAGGTGTGGGTCTGGAGCTCTGAGAAGTCAGAGCTGGCAGTACCGTACATAGATGAGTCATCCAAAGCTAAGTGCCAACTAAAATTGTGGGCCAGGGTGAGGTCGCCCAGGGAGAAAGAATGTAACGAACAGAAGAAAGCCAGAATGCTCATTGAGGAACATCATTATTCTCGTTTACTGGTCAGGTGGAGTTAGAATGACCCTTACGAAACCCATGGCATGTGAAGAGCCAAAGAGAAGGAAGAAAACTAGAAGCCAGGAGAATATAGATAGGGTCACGGAGGCCACAGGAAGAGAAGGGTGAAGGAGGGAGTGGTCAACAATGGCGACTAGGGAAGTAAGACAAGAGGCAGGTGGAAAATGCCCTTTGGACTAAGTGAGGTGGAGGGAGATTTGTGGCTTTAGTAAGAATATTTCAGTGGACTGAAGAGAGCAGAAGCTACACTGATGTGCATTGAGGTGGGGATTGAACGTCAGGAAAGGGAGTGAGTGTAAACAGCTTTCTCGAAAAGGTGGTGGAGTGGAAAAGAGGGCACCTGTTGCTGGCAGATGTGGAGTCAGGAGGATTGTTCTGGTTTGTGTGACCACTGGGCATCAATGATGCTTGTATTCGAAAGCCTAAGGATTTCATTGCAAGGGGGCTGGTTAAATAAAATAAGAGATGGGACTATCTGAGTTTACTGACGATCGGGAAGCTAAACAGGCTACAGAGGGCAGAGGCTCCGGGATTCTGCAGCTCCTGCTCCATCCTGGATTTTTCTGAACCTCAGCGACCTGCCCAAGGCCAGATGCCCTGACCTGGAATGCCTGCCGTCCCTCCTTTTCTTGGCATCTCTCCTCCCTGTTGTCTGGCTTACCCACAGCCCCTTTGCTACAGCCTGCTCAGCTGTTTTCTCAGCTTTGTTCACCCACTGTTAAGTTATTAACTTGTCAGGGTCCAGACTCCCCACTTCCTTTCCCACTTTGAACCCACTGTTGGCTCCCTTCCTGTTCGCTGCCTCACAAAGTCAGCACTTGGAAGCCCGGGGCTGCTCTGCGGGTCATTACTGGCAGCCACAGACAACTACAATTACCGTAATTGGTATAGAATGCCGAAGGCTTCTTAAAGACATTATTACAACTGAAAAAGGAACAATAAACACAGCCATCTCTCCATTATCTTAGAGGTGGAGGCAAATGGCGAGATTAAGATAAACTTTATTCGACGTCATTTCTCCAAGCGGGTTCAATTTCAGAGTCGCCTGTAACCCTATGAAGGACCATCAGATTCTCACATGTTAATGGATGGATTCATTAGGGTCAGGAGTGATCTTTAATAAGTTCTTAAAGCAGATTCAGTCACTGGTAAGTTTTAATACAAGTGTGGAGACTCTGAAACTAGAAGATTTTGTCTGAGAGTCTTTAGAAACGTTTGCAGCCGGTCCTTAAACAGAACTGGGTGGTTTTATCATTACCCAGCACTTTTGAAGTCATGAATTAACTGAATGGGGCATGACGGACTTAAAGCACAGACTATTTCCTATTTATCGGCCTACATTTCTTGTCTAAGGATAAAATTCAGGGAGAAATAACATTTTCGAGCATTTTAGGATGGGCAGATTCTTTTGCTTAGGTCATGATATTTATTCCTTGCAATGCTTTGAGATCCGTATTACCTACATGCGTACAAATAGAGGAATCAGGGCTCAGAACTATTCGGGAATTTCGCAAAGCGTGCACCTCTAGAGAGCGGCAGGCAGCCCTGGGCACTTGAGCTCCCGGCTTCCTGCTCACCCGTGGAGAACAAGCAGTCATTCCTGTAGGAATGGGAATATTAGCAACGACCCCCGTGCACCGAGTCCTTGATGTATGCGGAGCCTTCGTCTGTGTCGTGTCCTCTAATCCCTCGAACAACACAGCAAGCACCACGGTCCTCGTTTTACCCAAGAGGAAACAAACGCCAAACGGTTAAATTATTCCTCCAGTCAGTCACACGGCTCTCCAGTGAAGACCTGGTGCCATCTGAGCCTAACATTCTACTGCACCCTTGTTTGTCAACATTCGGGATGTTTCCCTGATCCCAAGAACAAAACATGAGACATGGTAGATGTAAACAGTTTTTCCCTAACGTTGTTGAATATTACAGCCGCCTCCCAGCACTCTGTTGAGCTGGAAGATGGAAGAATTTATTTAATTTTTTTTAAATTAAATTTATTTAATTTTTATTCCCTGTCAGCCTTGGGAGGGGAGGACAGACCTGCCCGCCATGTCCGTAAGGTACTTTCCCACCCAGGTAGCAACTTCTCCCATCAAGACATGTCCCCAAACCCAGAAGCAGCAAAGCAAACCTCTGAGCACAACCAGAACTAAATATCGAAATCCCTCCTTCACTGTATCTGGAGAAAAGCCCTTCCGACCTTCGCCCAGAGCAGGCTCTCTTTAATTTTCCACGTAATTCTAACAGCCTCCATGTTCGCTAGCATAATGGAAGAGGGCCCACCGCAGGTTGGTACTGTGACACCAGAAAGGTGAGCAGAGATCGTCATTGTGAAACAAAGAAGACAGAAGCAGAAATGAGAGCCCAGCGCACAGCCCGGGAACGCCTCGCAGACTCCACGGCACTGTTCCAGTGAAGTCGGATCAATGACACTTTTTCATTAGAGTCACACATTATGAAAAATTACCATTGTGTCATGTTTGGGGACAATCCAATTTAGGAGAATAGTGATGATGTGTGCAGGGTTTGGGGTTTTTGTTTTTTGTTTTTCAGGAAAAAAAAATGCATTCATGCTTTATCTCCCCTTCAAATCTAGCTGTCCAAGAAAGATTGCCCAAGGCCCTGTGTGCTTAGTCTTTGTACACCCGAAGCACAGTACTCGGCCCACAGTGCTGCTCACTAACGTTAGATGATGAAATGCCAACGGCTCGTTTCCTGAGGGCTCCAGAGAGCCTGTTTTCCTGCGGCCTCTCAGCTGCATTCCTGTGTATTCTGTGTTTAGACAGGACTCAGGGAAAGGATACCCAGCTTCGTCTCAGGAAAAAAAAATCCTGCCACACAGGGTAGCTGCCGTGTCCTTCATTCCCGTTGGCCTCCTCAAGACTGACCGACATTGCTGGCTGGAGAGGGGGTAGAACAGAAGCTGGGCCTGACTTTCCTGGGACACATGTGACGGCGAGAGCTAGCACCAGGCGGGGGGAGCAGAGAAAGCAGCTCTTAGCAAAACAGGCGAGGGCGCCCGGAATCCTCTGCGGGCTTTCAGGCTCCCACCCCCGCAGGATAAAACCAGTGTGGCCTAGGATGGGAGCTCGCTGTCCTGCAGAACATGTGCAGGCAGCCCCGAGATCTTGCACTGAGGGCTCCAGGCAGCCAGCTCCCCCCCACCCCCCCGCGCTTGGCACATCTGCTCCCAGCACCTGGCCCGCAGTTTCCAGCTCAGGGGCCGCTTGTTTTCCAGGTCGCTGCTGTTTTGAAAAGGCAGCCTCACTGACCTGTAAAATGGTGAAATGAGTGCAGTGCCCGTATGGAAAGCCCTGTCCCCCTCTCCCCAGCGGCCACCAAACCCTTCTGGGGAAGGGGGGCCATAGCCCTACATGCCTGAGGGAATTCTGGCCTTCGCAGCTGATGGAATTAGCAGGAGTTATCCCTAAATCCCCGAGGCATCCATCAGCCGACCCAGCCAGGCTGCCTTTTTAAAGAAGTTCACTGACCTCTTGTTAACTTAACTCCTTGTTAGGAAACATCTAATCAGCTGTATGCTCCCACGTCCAGGGCCCAGGGGTCGGCAGGAGCAGGGCTCACCATGGACTGGGGTTTCCGGCTGTGTGCTGCCTGGTACCTGAGCTGTCTTGTTTTCCTCTTTCAGCTATCTTCCAGATCATTCAGAGCATAAGGATGGGCATGTGAGGAGGCCCGGGGCTTTGACACTGCCCCTCCCTCTGGAGGGCGGAGGACCACTTAAGCTTTTAGCCGGGTATCTGTGGGAAGCAAACAAGACACACAGAATAGAAAAAAAGTCTCCCTCAATTGTTCCCTGATCACTTCATCGTGGATGTCAGACCAAATTGCCTTCTCACAGGACATCTTGGTACATCCGTGTTCTGGAGCGGAAAGGACATTTTGCTTTTCTGTTGGCGAGATTGGTAGCTCCCAGGTGTCCACAGCAGCACACTGTTTTCTGGTTTGGCCCTTGGTTTCACTGATGTATGCATGTGGTCTCTGAATGACCACCAGTTTACTTTCTGTGGATACAACCTCTCCTCCATTGGGAATTGGTTTTGCAAATAAATGTCTTTGTTCAACCTTATACCATGTGTGGGCTACCGTGAGAATACCGAAGTGAAGAATATGCCAGCATAGCTCCAGGTGGGGTTGGGAGAATGGGGGAGGGGGGCGGCGGGAACTGAGCTAGAGGATTGGGACAGGGTCAGGAATCTGTGTGTGGGGAACCAGAGCTAGATTTACCTTCAGGGCTTTTGCCCAGAATGAAGACCCAGGCGGCTCTAATAACCTTGGATTTTCCACCCATTTTGCTTTTTTAAATTTTTTTATCTTTTGAGGGTTTTTTGTGGGGTTTCTTTGTTCTTTTTTTTTTTTTTTTTAACACAGAAAAGGCACCTACAAAGTGTGTTAAGGTTTGATTAGCTGTTATCACCTCTTTGTCTGCCTGAGGACTTGGTGGGGAACAGATGTCTGAGGCCTCTTTATGAAAATCAATCAACCTTAGGGCCCAGCCCTGCCCTAGTGAGGAGCACAGGCGGCCAAGAGTCCCTGAGTGAGTCCCACCTCACTCTGGGTGGTCAGCCCCAAGGCTGGGAGGGTGAGACCCAGGGCTGGTGGGTACAAACCTCCCCTCCCTGGCCAGCCTCCCCCACAGCCTCTCAAAGTGTGGTCTGCCTCTAACCGACATCCCAGCATGAGCCGGGTGGAGAGGGAGTGGAGTCTCAAAATGCAGACTCTGGGGTTCCACCTCAAGTCTGCCAAATTTAAAGTGCTACAGGCGGAACTAAGACTAATGTTTTGTCAAGCTCCCTAGGTGAGGCTTATACACTCAAAATTTTGAGGATCTTGATCCTGAGAAAGTCCAGCTAAAGAGGGAGTGAGTTTTGTCCCCTTCCAAGCAGCAAAGGCATCCCAAGCTTGCTCTTAAGCAGACCGATCCTGGCAGGGCAGAGGGGAGGTAGGTAGGCGCTAGTAGGCGTGCCCTTTTGTTCCACTTCCGGTGAGGCCTAAGGAAGCCCTAGGGGCTGCCACAGAGATCAGCAACGGGATTGGAGATGCTCACCCTGCAACTTGAAACAGGCCTGGGGTGCATTTTAAAATTCCATCTCTGCATTCTTGGCAGTTTTTTTCATTCCTGAATATTGTGAGAGCTTTAAACACGGAAGTGGCCGCCGTGGCCAGGACATCTGGGGGCGGGGCGGGGGGGTGATGGGTCCACTGGAGTCTTTCACCCCAGACCCTTCAGGGATGTTCTTTAAGGCCTGCTTTCCTTCCCATCCTCCTCTTCCTCCTCTCTTCCCACTGAGAAGGGGGAAGGTTTTGGAGCAGGCTTGTTCCAAAATTAGCAAACCCAGGAAAGCCCCCCATCCTTGTGCTCCTCCCACCGCTTCCCCCCCAACCCCCTCCCAAGCCGGCAGAAGACACTCGCCACCACAAGGGTGCACATGAGATGCTCTGCGAGCTGGTTCTCCTCGTTCTGTTGGCTCCGCTGCCCATTCCCTTCTAGGTCACGGCGTAAGACCAGTGTACTGTGAAAGATCAGACCTCAGGGCTCCTGCCAAGAGGCTGGAAGAAGAAAGGCCACTTGATGTCAGGTTTACCTGGTCTGTGCTCTCCTCCCGCCATCTCTAACTCCCACAGTGCCCAGACCTGATTTGAGTATGGCCTTCCCCTTCCTGCCCTGAGAACAGCATGCACACCAAACCACTGGCAAAGGCTATGACTGGGCCCTGTCTTTGGGGCGCCTCCTTTATTGGATGGAGTCTTCCCCTAATACTAGTTTGGTTGTTTCCACAGTAGTAGTAGTCCATGGGAGCGATCATCTCTCTTTCAAGGAAAGGGAAACTGAGATTTAGCCAGATTGGGCTCCAGATAAACCCAGTGGTCCCCGGGTGACAGGCATGGTGGGCTGAGTCAGCAGCTATGGGTAAAACTGCCTGAGATTGATCGATCTCCCCAGGCTATGAGATCATGAACAAATTGGTTTTCTATTACTTTCCAGGTAGCCTCCTGGAAGTACTTGTATGTGACAGTCTGCCCTCCCTGGTGACTTAGTCTGTCACCCTTCCGAAAGAGGAGACAGGGGCTGCCCCAAGTAAATCAGGGTCATGTTTGATTTATGCTGTCCAGCCGAGACTTAGGGACATTTTGTGCCATGACACATAGTCAGAAATACATGGCAGCCCAAAGTACAACACACCCACCAAAAGAGGTTTTCCAGAACCACACTTACCCCTAACATATGTCATGCGCTCTTCCCAGCCCCCGCACCTTGGACCATTTAATTTCTCTAATACTGACTGCACCCTGCTCAACGGGTCTTATAACCCACGAATAGGTTCCAACCCACAGTTTGAAAACCCTGTTCCTGGGGCGGAAAATCAAGCCCTTTGCAGGAAACAGATGAGCAGGTCTCACAAGGTAAAAAAGTTTGCATCTCACTTTACATTCTGGTGAGATCTTGAGTCACACCAGTCACAGCCCATCAATACCTTCTATGGCCCATAAGCATTCTCTCTGGGTCTTTAGGGTCCTTTGGCAGATCCCACAAAAGAACACTAAACCCCTTGAATTCATTGAAATAACGGGAAATAAACACCACATTCCCTTTGTCAACAATCACTTGCCATTCCTCACCATCACTTGGGGTGGTGATGGCTGTTTTTTGTTTTGTTTTTATGTGCAGTTAGCCAGCATATAGTACATTGGTTTTTTTTTTTAAAGATTTTATTTATTTGTCAGAGAGAGAGAGAGAGTGAGCACAGGCAGACAGAATAGCAGGCAGAGGCAGAGGGAGAAGCAGGCTCCCTGCTGAGCAAGGAGCCCGATGTGGGACTCGATCCCAGGACGCCGGGATCATGACCCGAGCTGAAGGCAGAATGGATGGCTGTTTTTTAAAGCTGGAATCCACCACGGGTTTGGCTGAGACTCGAAGCCTCCGGGGAAGAAGGGCAGATGCGTATGTATTGGGTTTTAGTGTCCACATGATTCTGAAGCTGCCCACCTACCCATTAGCATTTGGGAAACAGTCACCAGTTTAAACTTTGACTTCATTTAACCCAAAGCGGGGACTCAGCAGCAGTTCCCCCAAACCTAACCATGCAGCAACCCTGCACAAGGGTCTCTCCCACCGCCGACGAAGCATTTGGGCTTCTCTGCAGAGCTCAGCAACAATGAGACTCAATGTCTTATCTGGCCCCAGGTCTTGTGTGTCCTTTGTCATCTCAGTAGATCACAGAGAGGGGTACATGGTGGCTTCATACATGACTCCAGGAGCTCTGTAGGAGGGAAGCCTGCGTGGTGGGAAGGCTAAGTGCTTCTTCCAGGACTCGACCTCCCAGGGCATACTTCGAGATCAAACGCTGTCTCTGGGAAGGCCAGCGCACTGATGTAAGAGCTCGCTGGTCCAGAAGAGAAGGAAGCCGTGCTTTGCTGAAAGGCAGTTCTCATCCTCTGCAGACGCAAGAATATTCTTGCTTAAGATCTGGATGCTGCCGTGCCGGGATAACAACTGGAAAGCTCAGTCCCTCAGCCAATGGGCGTTGACTTCTCTCTCACATGAGTCTGGCTGGAGCAGGCTGGCCAAGCTTCCCTTCACAGAGTGTCCCTGTACTCCAGGTTACACTGCCGTCACTACCCAGGGTCACTGCGCCACCGAAAGCAAGGTGTATTGGGGACAGCAGTCTTCGCTGCCCTGGCCCAGAGGGGACTCTTCACTTCCAGCTCACCATGACACTGGCCCCTGCGAGTCCCGTGGCCCAGCCTGTCTGCAGGGAAGACGGGGAGACGGCAGCGTGCACATGGGTATTTGCAGAACCGTTTCGGCCATAACACATCCTGTTTCTTGAGCATGTGGTGAGACTGTGAGACTCCGTGTTCTGTTGAGGGCAGTTTTCTAGCCATCACTTTTCCTTTTTCTAAGTTTCTAGATCTCACTGCATTCCTTAGGCCTCGAGGGCCTGTCTGTGCCCGGCTCACAGACGGGAGCTCCAAGAAGGTTCGCTCTGTGCCTGGGCAGGTGACCTTGGCATTCATCCCCCAGCCAGGATGTTTGTAAGCATGAGAGGGATTGCTATTGATAGTTATACCAGAAAGAAATAATGACACCAGAAAGAAAGCAGAGAAATGGCCCAAATGTTACCGCAAAGCATTCTTAAGCATTTTACAATCTCCACACATTTCTGGTTTTTTGAGTCTCCCCAAACAGTCGGTAGACTCCCAGCGAGCACCGATGGAGGGCTTGCCGTGTACAGATACCGCTCAGCGATTTGTTTTTCTGCGCGTGGACTCCTCACAAAACGCCCCTCAGGTAGGTGCCATCATTATCCCTGACTCACCCAGGAAGAAACTGACACTCAGAAGGTTGGAAAAATGTGCCCAAGAGGACGCTGCTGGTGAAGGAGGGAACTGGGGTTCAGACCCAGATGGGCCCAGCACCAATGTCTGAGCTCTTTATCATGGTGCTGCCCTTCCCAGGGGCCTGATCCTAATGAACAGAGAGAATTGGCTTTGTTTGTTTCGTGTTAATTTCACGGTTATACATTCCAGACACAGACCAGTGCCTGGAGCTCAATGATTGTTCATGAAATGAATGATCGCAGGAGTCAGCAAATAGTAGTCTCTTGCTGAATACACATACTCTTGGCAAGACTGGAGCGGCAGGAGATAGGACCGAATTGTAGAAATGGCCCAGGCCCGGAAGTCAGGCCCCTGGCTTCTTGCCCCGGCTTCTGCCCTTCACTTTGGCTCCCGACCTTGATGTCCACAGCCATACATTTGAAGATATCCTGCCCTCCCACATCACAGGGCTGTTGTGGGAAGCAAATGATACGATGTATGTGACATCGCTTTGAAAAAACTGTAAAATGTATACAAATTATATATGTAGGTAATTACATCTATGCATACAATTATGTATGTAATCATTGCTGGCAACCATATAATAATATAATAATAATTGCTACCCAGGACAGGTGGGGACTCCATAAGAAAAAATAAAAGAAAGAAAGAAAGGAAGGAAGGAAGGAAGGAAGGAAGGAAGGAAGGAAGGAAGGAAGGAAAAGAAAAAACAATTCACATTCAAAA